TGTCGTGACAAACTCGGACAAATATTTTTCAATTTCGCATGCTCCCACTTTGTCACCCGCCATTTTAAATAAATTTTTCTCGCTACATTGAAATAAATCGATCCTTTAATTAGAGATTCCAAGCTTTATTTTCATTTTCTAAAGACCTTTCTATCTTTATTATTTACCAAGTTATGATCATTTGAAGTTTGGTAAATTTTTCCCACATTTTAAATGTACCGCTTGTTTTGGAGTGAATATATCTTAAAAAAATAATAATTTGAATTTGAAATGCTAAATCTTTAACACGATATAAGTTTTACTTGTAAAAACTCATGTTATGTACATATATAACACAATACGTGTTGCGCGTGTACTTGGTGCCTTTTTTTACCTTTTTGTTCATACACTTACATTAATATTAAATCTAAAGCAATATAAAGAGAAAAAAGAAGAAAGGAAAGAAAAAAAACATCTTACAGCAACTAGAATTGAACTCGAATCGCTAACACACCAGGTAAGCGACTAGGCTGCTCCACTACCGTTGCAAGCGCTTGCTTATATACGCTCTATTATCTGTGTTGTGGTTTGAATTTGAATTTTTGTCTAGCGCGCTTTGTGACGTTTGCACTAATGTGTCAGCGGACAGATGCGTGGCGCGCGTGTGGTAGGAGGAGAAGCAAGTCTTTAGTCAGTTAGTTAGTCATCGTGAGCGTATGCTCGAGGAAGTGGCTTCTTATATAGAACTAGGTTAATCTATATACTGTGAAGAGTTCAAGTGTATTGTGTTCCTTTTTGATAATATCGTTGTGTACTAAATAAAAGTATACTAATCCTATCTTGCTTGTGCTTAACCCGCTATTCCTGCGTTGATAAATTTCAACAGGTTATGGACCCAGACTTCGCGATAGTGCAAGTGAGAGAGGAGTAAAGTTCGTAAAAATCAGGAAGGAAGGAGCCGGTACGACACGAGATACGTGATTCGTATTGAAGACTCTTTGAACTCGAAGTTTTGCTCGATAGCAAAATGTCGGAGGATCTCTTATGAGAAGTTTGATGAAGTTCGACGGCAAGAACTTCCAGATTTGGAAGTTTCAAATGGTATCTGTGCTGGTGGCGCATGGAATCTACGACGTGGTAATGGACACGCGAATAAAACCAAGAGATCCAATGGCAGCTAAGACAAAGATGTGGATAAAGGATGATGCAAGGGCGACTTTCCTTATATCGTCGGCCATTGAGTACTCTCAACTTGAGTATTTAATTACTTGTCAGACGTCTCATGAGATGTGGACAAAGCTGAGTAGCATTCATGAAAGAACTTCAGAATCGAACAAACTGCTTTTGTTGCAACGGTTTCATGAATACAAGATGGCCGCGAATGACTCACAAGGAGATGACGCCAATTAGAAAATCGTATTTTGAACGAATCATAGTGCGTTCGATAGCTTGTATGTAGGCGATGAAAACCCTAGAGCCGTTTGTGTCAATGCGCCTTTGTTTAAGAGAATTTAAGATACAAAGTTAGGGTCACGCAACTACGTCCCATATAAGCAGAACTTTACGACCTCTTTCGAGTAAGCGGCGTAGCTGAGGAGACTAAGTCTCCCACACATAGATTTTTGCACCGGCGGCGAGCGTTCGAATCCCACCGACGATTGCTTCACTTCATGGTTTTTTTCCGTACTAATACGTTCCGTAGTAATACGTTATTAATAATTATTTATTTATTTTTTAATTTATTTCGTTTTTATATAAAAAATAAGGACATTTCGGGATATTTGAACGCAATATGAAATAAAAAATATATGAATCGTATGAACTGATTATATATTTTTCAAGCAACGTATAAATTTGATACATGTCAAAATCAAATACAAACTTTATAAATGTCTACATATTATAAAATGTTTCCATCGCTTCGCAGTGTTGTGGATGAAAATTCATGTAAAAACATTGGAAACATAAAACTTTGTCGCACCACGAACATTTTATAAATGAATTATGTTGTTCACATACGCATTTTTTATTATAAATATTTGGAGGAAAGCATAGTTGGTTAACATTTAAAAACATTTCTCTTTCGTCAGCTAATTTGGACGCATACCATGCATATTGAAGCATACATTTAAATCTTGGATTTAACACACACAACACTGCGAAGCGATGGAAACATTTTATAATATGTAGACATTTATAAAGTTTGTATTTGATTTTGACATGTATAAAATTTATACGTTGCTTGAAAAATATGTAATCAATTCATACGATTTATACAGGGTGGTTGATTATAAGTTGCCAACCCGAAATGTGAGGGTAGATTGGGTTAAGATAAACATAAAAGTCCCATACCATTTTGCGAGATTCGCAATAATTATCGAGTTATTAATGACAGAAATTTGAGGAATGGGAGCGCGTCGACATAAATAATTGGAGAAGCGTTGCAGCTGCTTAGGCCGCAGCGCGGCCCAGTTGATCCAGAAACTGATGCCGGTGCGCGGTGAGGGGAAAACAATGCGCTGCTATTCGTTGTTTTATCTCGCCGGACATACGTCTCGCCGCACGCCGCCAACAGTTGCTTGGTCAAGTGGGCCGTGCTGTGGCCTGAGTAGCTGCAACGCTTCTCCAATCATCTATGTCGGCGCGCTCCCATTCCTCAGATTTCTGTCATTAATAACTCGATAATTATTGCGAATCTCGCAAAACAGTATAGGACTTTTGTTTATCTTAACCCAATCTACCTTCACATTTCGAGTTGGCAACTTATAATCAACCACCTTGTATATTTTTTATTTCATATTGCGTTCAAATATCCCGAAATGTCCTTATTTTTTTATATAAAAGCGAAATAAATTAAAAAATAAATAAATAATTATTAATAACGTATTACTATATGTCGAAAATTAAAGAGAAAAAGAAAAAAAAACCATGAGGTCGTCGGTGAGATCCGAACGCTCGCCGCCGGTGCAAAAATCTATGTGTGGGAGCTTTAGTCTCTTCAGCTACGCCGCTTACTCGAAAGAGGTCATAAAGTTCTGCTTATATGCGACGTAGTTGCGTGACCCTAACTTTGTCTCTTAAATTCTCTTAAACAAAGGCGCATTGACACGAACGGCTCTAGGGTTTTCATCACCTACATACAAGCTATCGAACGCACTATGACTCGTTCGAAAAACGATTTTCTAATTGACGTCATCTCCTTGTCAGTGGTACAGCAGTGGCTAAAGTACAAAATATGGCTAGGCAGCTCACGGATGTTGGTGAGGTTGTATCAGACATGGATATAATGGCGAAAATTTTGGGGAGCCTGCCTACGAAATATGGAACTCTGATTACAGCCTGGGACAGCGTGGAACCTGCTTCACAAACCATACATGGACTACAAGAGCGACTAATAAAAAAGGAAAGCAGATTATCGCGAGATGACGAATTGGCAAGTGCGTTGGCCGCTGTAACAGTTAAGAGCAAGAAAAAGCAAGATAGTGTCTCACAGAAGAAGAAAAAACCCAGCAAAATGACTCGGCTGGTATAGTGTTTTTACTGTAAGAAAAAGGGCCACATAAAGAGATGTAATATTCAATGAAAGAAGAAACTGCTCTAGCCCAAGAAGGTCGACAGGTAGTCTAATCAAGCTGCCAAACCAAAAACACGAGCAGATTGAAGACGAGGATGAAAGCCGACGACCTAAAACTATGGCCGTCCCAGAAAGGATAATAAGCGATGAGGAGAATGAGTCGTCGGATGACACCAATCATTCGCCTGACGAAGGTTCACGTCAGCTACGTGATCGCACCCAGATTAAGCGACCGGCAAGATATGAGGTAAATCTTACAGAGTGTAATAAGCCTATAAGTTACAGAGACGCCATATCTAAATCGGATACTGAAAAATGGGTCAAGGCTATTGCAGAGGAACTAGATGCACACGAGAGGAATGGAACGTGGACAATTCTCCAAGAACCGGGCCAAAATCCGATTGATTCAAAATGGGTTTTTCGAATCTCCCGGACACCGACAGGAGAGATATGTCGCTACAAGGTGAGACTGGTTGCGAGAGTTTATGCAAAAACCCAGAAAAGATTACTCAGAGACATTTTCCCCGGTAATTAGGTTTGATTCGTTACGTGTATTTCTTGCTATGGTTACGCAAAGAAATTTAGAGCTAATACAATTTGATGTAAAGACAGCGTTTTCGTACGGAAAATTGGCAAATCGTGTATTTATGAAAATACCAGAAGGATTACATGTAGTGAAAAACGAGACTCTAGTGTGTAGACTTGAGAAAGCGTTATACGGTCTTAAACAGGCATCGAGAATTTGGAACCGAGAGTTTGTATCATTCCTAAAGTATTTTAGTTTCACGAAAAGCAATGCGGATAAATGTATTTTTCGCGGCAGGGTAGATAATGACGATGTTTATCTTGCATTATATGTCGATGACGGACTCATAGCTGCCAAATCAAAACGCTCTATTGCCAAAGTAACGAATGCGCTTAAAGAAATGTTTGAGATTATTTTGGGAAATGCAGAAGTGTTTGTGAGTCTACAAATATATCGTGATCGGAGTAACAAATAGATGTTTTTGAGCCAAAGAAATTATATTGAACAAGTACTGAGCAGGTTCGGAATGAATGACGCGAAAGAAGTTGCCGTACCTGCAGACCCACACGCATTATTGCAGCCTGTTAGAGATAATGTCCGATTAACATGTAATGTACCGTACAGAGAAGCGGTAGGTTTATTGATGTTTTTAGCAACCGTGTCGAGACCCGACATTGCGTTTGCGATTAGTTATGTAAGTAGATTTTTAAACGGCTATGAAAATAGTCACTGGCAGGCGGTAAAGCGCATATTAAAATACTTGAAAGATACGTTAGAAGTAGGAATATTGTATAATAGCAAGAAAAATGATCTACGACTAGTAGGTTATTCAGATGTGGATTTTGCGAGCGACTTATCAATGAAGAGATTGACAACTGGAGTGATATTTATGTTTGCCGGTGGACTAATAACTTGGTCATCACAGAGACAAAGTCTTGTGACCTTGAGCATGACAGAGACAAAGTCTTGTGACCTTAAGCATGACAGAGTCGGAATATGTTGCTGCAGTGTCGACAGCCAAAGAGGCAATATGGTTGAGAGGCTTATTGAGCGACTTAGGTTATTCTTGTGAGGAAGCGACAGTATTGAATGTTGATAATCAAAGCACAATACGGTTGGCATAGAACCCAGAGTTCCATAAACGGACCAAGCATATTGATTTGCGTTTTCATTATGTACGAGAGAAAGTAGAAGCCAAGGAGATAGTCGTTAAGTATATTCCTACAAGATCTCAATTAGCGGATATATTAACTAAAGCTCTTCCAAAGGAGCGGTTTTATACGATCTGTACTAAGTTGCAAGTAGTTGCCAAACCAACAAAGTGCTTAGACCGAAGGAATCTTGTGGTTTGAATTTGAATTTTTGTCTAGCGCGCTTTGTGACGTTTGCACTAATGTGTCAGCGGACATATGCGTGGCGCGCGTGTGGTAGGAGGAGAAGCAAGTCTTTAGTCAGTTAGTTAGTCATCGTGAGCGTATGCTCGAGGAAGTGGCGGCTTCTTATATAGAGTTAGGTTAATCTATATACTGTGAAGACCGAGTTCAAGTGTATTGTGTTCCTTTTTGATAATATCATTGTGTACTAAATAAAAGTATACTAATCCTATCTTGCTTGTACTTAACCCACTGTTCCTGCGTTGATAAATTTCAACAATCTGCATTGTACTAACTAAACTTCAAACTTTATTGTTGAATAGCTTTAAAATTATCGAGTATCTGAGCAAACGATAAAACACAAGTCAAATATTCTTCGATTTTCGACCTACCTACAAAAATTTAATCAAATCGATGATTTATACCTCGTGTAATTCCCTTGTTAATATACATGTACTACTATATATATTATTATTAATTATATATATTATAAAATGTATATGTATATATTAGTGTTATAACATTACTGTTCTGCTTAATTATGTTATTAGTAATAAAATACTTACACTGAAGCACAGAGCACCATACCATGTGATAAGATTCCTCTGAGACTTGCTGGTTTTAGATTGGCAAGGACCACTACCATTCTGTTCTCCATCTCATTCAAAGGTACATAATTAACTAAGCCGCTGACTATGGTACGTGGACCACTCGGTTCCGCTAAATCTATTTTTTCTACATAGAGTGAATCCGCGTCAGGATGCTTTTTCACTTCAATTATTTTCCCTACTCGAATATCCAGTCTTACAGGAGTAATTTCCACTTCTGTAGTTTCTAAATATCAAATGTTACAATTAATGTATTACGCGTATATATTCTAATAAATTGTAAGAAGTTAACCATTTTGTTATTAAATACATAGAGCTACTTGGTACAATAATAAACTAATAATAAATAATAGTAACCAATGTTACTAATATTACATAATAGTAACTAATGTTAAATAAATTACTTTGTTTTTTTGGTAGAGGGTACGCTTTGTTTGCCAAAGTCTTCAATTTTGAGTGTGTCTCAAATTCTTTGCGGATTGGATCTAGAAGTTTATTGATGTATATTTCTACAGCATTTTTTAAGTCACCAGGATGTATCTCCTGTTTTGCAAAAGCAGTCTCCAAGTCCTCATACTTAGTAAAGGATATATTACCACCTAATATTAAAAGTAAGATAAAATAAGATAAAAGTAAGATAAAAATACTTGATTATTTTTTATTTTTAAATTTACTTTAAATAGTTATTACTTTTCAGTATTTGTAAAGTCGATCGCATAACATAAATACTGAATACATGCCAAATTCTGCAGTTCTTGGTATGTTGAAAACTTCATCATCTCTAAATAGCGGAAATATAACATGTTTGGAAAACGCTAAAACACCATTATCTGTAATATTGCCAGGCTCACAAAATGCCTTCTTTAATTTCTTTTTTATTGCTGCAGCGTTATCCAATAAATCGATCTTTGAGTCTTCCTCAGATGAGGACATTTTTGCTCCTGCTAAACCTGGAACTGAATAAGTATGATTAAGAAGCTATAGAAAATCATATTTAAGTAAAAATGTACACTAAGGGCTGGTTGTTCCAACTTCTCGGCAAGTTACCTGATAGTTAAATCATACATTTGTCTTTGTTTTTCCTTCAACTTGGACAAAGACAGACATATGATTTAACTGTCAGTTAATTTACCAAGAAGTTGGAACAACCAGCCCTAAGACTTTAATTTATTTTTCTGTTTGATACTAACTCATTGGATTCATTAGATGGACACGTTTATCATATCCCAACATGGGCAGATATTTCTCTGCAAAAGTAAAGATCTTTCTCTGATCAATGCCACCAAATTGAGCATCTACTTGTAAGTGTTGCTCATCGAGTGCTTGTAACCCTGGATAAAGAAGACCAGATAGCAAAGGATTTGCAACCTGTTTGACAACTTCAGCTCCTGCCTTTTTTGCATCATGCTCCGTTATTATCGAGCTTAGGCGATATACATCTAATGTATATTCCCTTAAAAGAAAAATAACATTTATGTACTAAATATATCTTAAAAACAATGCAACTTTGCACTTATATTTATTTGAATTTTTTTAGGTTGCAAAGTAAAAATGCATTACTTATAATACTATTACCATTAGAAATTATTCTTTCTGTTAATAACTATAACTATATTGTGTGGGTAATAATAATAAATATAATCATTACTTTTATCAATGCATATGAAATATGCACTGTATATATAGGTTCATATTCTGAATTCTCTTTTATCATTAAAAGTGATTATAAGTTTCCTGATTGGTTATAATCCATTTTTAGAGTCGCTTTTAATGATAAAAGATAGTTCAGAATATGGGCTATAGAACACATATAATAGGAGATAAGTTATAGTGAATTAAGAAAAAAATCTTTAAAACTTATAACTTTTTAACTTGTAAAAACATGTGCTATATAACTTGTAAAAAACTGTTATTTCTTATGTTATGATAATGGTAATTTTTTTGTAATAATAATTACTTTCGCAGATAGTTAATATATAATGGTAATGTTATTTAAAAACATAACTTTCATAACCATGATAATAATACATTATGATAAAAAGAACGAACTCTATTAATGATACTGCTACAATGATATAAAAGAGATAGTTCTATAGTTCTCTAGTTAATTTATAGTTCTAATATAACATCAACTTACTTGGTCAACTGATAGTCTGTTCCTTTGACAAACTTTAAATTGTCTAGTGGAACATTAATAGATTTTAACATTGCTTTAATTACAGCTTCATAATATTGAGTACGAAGTTCTAAAAGCTCCCATGGTGCTTTCATATTATCTAAATATGCATGGAGGTCAGCAAAGAGAATTATCACTTCTGCTCCTCCTCGTAAAAAATCTGCTATTTTGGACATAGGTGCAAAATAGCCAATATGAGGTTTACCAGTTGTAGCTGTACCCCAATATAGTTTGAGGTCACGTTCTTTTAGAATACTCTTTAGTTTCTCATCTCCCAACCATTCTGCCAAATTTCTGGTAATAAGCTCATATTTTTCATTCCATGTCAAAGCCATTATTAATTTCTGTTAAATATATACATATATGTATAACTACATATATCTTGGTATATTCCTGATTAAATCAATACAATATGACATTTAATAATTATAGTGTCTTAATTTCAAGTTTGTACTAAAGCAAAAAGATAAAAAAGATAAATATGTTGCTATAAATATTGTAATATATACAGTATTGTAACACACATATTACATATTGTTAATATAATTAAAATATATTAAATTATATAATTCAACAGTTTTATGTTTAATATATAGTTAGCATATGTGTATATTATAAGTGCCAAAAAGTTTTATAAGTTTCAACCAAATTAGCAAACAATATTTATCTATTTCATTGCATTATATTTTTAAAAGAAGGCTATTTTTCTAATATATATGTTATAAAAAAAATAATATATTAAAAACAACTTTCCTATATTATGAGGAAAAAAGAGAGAAAGACTATATATACTTCAGATATGACATATCAATATTCTATGCAATATTTATTTTCATTATTTTTTTATCGTTACTTATTACAATAATATTTATGTAATAATATATTTAATTTATGATTTAATGCAAAAATTAAATTATAGGTTAACATATTACAATCATTTATTCGAACCGTATTTTATTATATTTATCTGACTATATTACATTTTATACAAACAAATATGACGTAATTAAATTTATAATAAATCATATCTGTTATTAAATGTTTGCAACTTAATTCCACGAGCAACAATCGCAAAACTAAAACACAAACCTGAGAGTGGCCACGCCGACACTTCTACTAGGTCTGTTCGTTTTCTGATTTTAGGTTTGTTCTTTTCAGAGAGAAGCCTGAGAGCGGGCATGGCTGCATTTACAGCGTTATCGAAAAGTTGGATGATTCGAAGCGCCAGCTGGGTCCATTTTTCATGGACATGAACTACTAAGCTAATGTCCACGATTTAATGGTACTATTCCGTGCTATGTCCATAATTATTTGGTTTTGCTCTGTGCTATGTTCATGAGCGAGCTAGGTTAAAGCCAGCGGCACATGGTGCTTGTTTCGTGCTGGATTGCTTGCTGATGAAAATACTACGTTTTGATTGGTACATTTCCGAAGATGGATGAAATGCACCAATCAGAACGCAGTATTTTCATCCAACAAACAATCCAGCATGAAAACAAGCACCGTGTGCCGCTGGCTTTAAATAAAAACGGAGAATCGGTCTTTGTCTCACCACCAGCGAATAGACAATCGCGACGATAAACTGAAGCAAGCCAGCAGCGATGTTATCGTAAGGCAGACGTCGCCGTCTCCCCTTTCACCCCCTTGTTTTCCTTTCCACATTGTTTTATATTCATAATTCGGGAAGAAAATAATTTCGAGAATTCGGACGATTTCTAGCAATGACGCGACAGAGATAACGCGCGGCCACATTAATTTGTCATGACTTTTATATTACTTATAATTACATAAACGCCCATATATGCAAATTATAGATAATTATTGCGCGTATGTTTTAATATTGTATTGGGTGAGTGCAAAAGATCGTGCGGAGTTTCAATAGATGGAGTTATAAGCGTCGTAAAGTGTTGTCATTAATACTTCCATCTACATATTATATAACGTTGGAAAGGTGACGTCTTCAGCTGTTATTAAAAAAAAAATCATTTGTTTTCATACAAACTGCTTCGAGAAATATCACTTTAAAAATGAGTATCGATAAGGTGCATTTACGGCATGTTATGCTTTACGAGTTTCGGAAGGGAATAAACGTTGCCGCAGCCGTAAAAAACATTCAGGATGTTTATCAGGATGAAGCACCAGCTAAACGAACTGTGGAAAAATGGTTTGCTAAATTTCGGCGCGGAGAATTTAACCTTGAAGACGAGCCACGCTCTGGTCGACCTTCTGACATTGATGACGATGTTTTGCGTACTTTAGTGCTCAATAATCCGCGAATTTCAACAGAAGAAGTTACTACAGCACTAAACGTTGACCGATCAACCCCTTTTCGGCGTTTAAAAAAGATGGGATTCGATTTGAAGCTCGATATATGGGTGCCCCATTTGCTGACCGAGAAGAACAAAATCAAGCGAATTTCTGCAGCCGTTTCTTTACTCGGGCGGCTCAATAACGAGTCGTTTTTGGATCGACTAGTGACGGGCGATGAGAAATGGGTCCTCTACAACAATGTTCAGCGCAAACGGACATGGAAACAATCAGGTGAGCATGGTGACGCAATGCCAAAGGCCAGTTTGTACCCGATGAAGGTGATGCTCTCTGTTTGGTGGGATTGCAAGGGCATAATCTATTTCGAGCTTCTCCCCGCTGGCGAAACGATTGATTCGGACAAGTACTGTCGCCAATTAACCAATCTGAATCGAGAAATAAAAGAGAAATGTCCGATTTTGTCAAATCGCAAGGGAGTCGTCTTTCATCACGACAACGCCAGACCACACGTTTCGAAAAAGACGCTGCGCAAACTGAAGAGCCTGAAATGGGATGTCTTAACGCATCCACCGTATTCTCCTGATATCGCACCATCTGACTATCACTTGTTCCGGTCATTGCAAAATTATTTAAATGGAAAAAACTTTGACTCTTTGGAGGCCTTAAAAACGGCGTCTCTTCGTTCTTCGAATCTAAATCGCGCAGTTTTTATGATCGAGGCATCCGTATGCTGCCAGAACGTTGGGAAAAGATTATAGAAAACGATGGAGAATATATCATTGATTGAATAAAGATTTTTGTTTGCCTAATCACTGTGTGACTTTTACTCACAAACTCCGCACGAACTTTTGCACTCACCCAATACAATGGTATATAATAACAACAACTTTATTTCTTGCAGTAATTTTTTTAAGATTTTCGTTGAGGTCGTGAATTAATTTTTTTCTTCATCAATCAGTTTTCTGCAAAAATTAAGATTTTTTAAATAAAATATAAAATGCTTCTCTTGTCTTCTCTCCGAAAAGTTAATTAAAAAATGTGTACTCCACAGAGTCAACTAAAAAATGTGTAGTCAGAAGAGTCCCAGTAAACACAGTTATGTAACAGTTACGTTATCGTAATGTAACGAAATGTAACACATAATATAACGTGTACGTTACAAACAATATACATGTTAGTTGTAATTTCCCACTCATAGAAAATTGCAGTTATATAATAGAAATATCAATATATATATTATACTTTCAGATTATGAATCGACAGAAGCGTATCATAAAAAAACCAGAGCGCTATGAAACGACTTCATCTGATGAAAGTCCTAAGCGCAAAATAAGTAGACCATCCATTATGCCTGGTTTCATGGACGACGACATAAATGAGATAAGAACCATTATTGAAAAGCATAATAATTCGACATCAAACATTACACCACAAACCATAAACCACAAACACGAAACAATACAAACACATACACAGTAACACATGCAAACACCACAAACACACACACAACAATACATACAAATACCAGAAATACATACACAACAATACATACAAAGACCAACACAGTTAAAGATTACTTCTGATGCTGGATATATTCCGATGTCAGAATATATTGAACCACAGACTCACACAGACTTTACACTACGTACAGAGTACGATAAAACATATTATGCTAATGAATGTTTGCCTCAGTTTCAGAAAATAGCATCAACTGCGAATACCCAGCAAAATATATCTCAGCAACAAGAAGAATATATGTATGCAGAGGAAGTACCAGTCCAGAAAGAGAATACAAAGACCAGGTATTTATAAAATAAAAAAAAAACATAATAAGAAAATTAAATTACAGATACAAATAAATCGCTTACTGATATTAATAAAATTAATAGCATATATTAACATATTTATGTATAATTTTAGGAAAATGGAAGAACGATTGGCCAATTTAGAACTAGAGGTGAAGTAGGTTTCTTATATATCATACTTATTAACTTGTATGTGCTATGTTATGTAATGTATAATATTTGGAACTGCAATTATATGGCTCATTTTTGTTTTCAGGAAAATGAACGGAACGTTAATGAAAATTTTGAAATGTGCTCAAGACCGTTATTCTGCAGTGGAGATACCACAAGGACTACCAATTTCAACATTGGAGCAAATAGATGCATTTGAAAATCAGGATGATGAAAGATATTCTCAAGTTGTAAGTCACATTCATAATTTCTCTGATGGAAATACTGAACAACACAATTGGCCTATTTTCATTACAATTCAGTATGAAACATTAAGAAATATCAAGATTTATCAAGATTCATTAAAATTAATTTTTGACATGAATGAATGAATTTTAATTAATTTTAATGAATCTTAAAAATCGTAATAAATTTTAAAGAATCTTTATGAGTCGTAACGATTCTTAATGAATTTAAATAAATCTTAATGAATCTTAATAAATCTTCCCTAATAGCAATATTTTAGCAGATTGACGGCAGAATGAATCAGAGGTTTACAGCAGATTGGTGCCAACTGCTTGTCCATTGTGCCCGCATTCTGACGGCAGAGTCTGGCAACATTATTTGACGGCAGACTGATGCCAGAAACAAAGCAGATCCCGACGTACACAATCTAGTGACAGATTGACGGCAAAAACGTATCAGATCCTGACGTACGCAGTCTGGCGGCAGATTGACGACAGAAATACAACAGATTATGCAGTGCGCAGTCTGGTACCAGAATGACGGCAGAAACGTAACAGATCTTGCTGTTCACAGCCTGACAGCAGACTGGTGACAGAAATACAACAGATTCTGCCATATTCATTTTTACATCCCCCCTCCCCCTTCCCATTCAGTCATGCATATTACGTGAAAGTAATTATTAAAAAACAATACAATATACGAACGTAATTGTTTTTATTTATCACACAAGACAAAACGAGCCAGCCAATCAGATTCACAATGGTGTTTACCGTAAATAGCGGAACACGAAGGCGACGATGTTTCTTCTCATAGCCTCAGGAAGTGACGACAGACGGTGACTTCGAGACGATGTTGGAGTAACTGATAAAAGGGTTTGTGAATGGTGAAGTGGCAATTTGCTGCGATATCTGTAAATTGAAATTATATTACAGTTGCATCTTTCTAATTACAGTTATGAATAATATATGTTTAAGTAAATACATGAATTAAAAGTTACATTGTATTAATGTCACAATTTCCCACAGTAAATATAATACACGTGTCGTATTCATAGTGGCATAGCAAATTGTAGCATCGATTGTAACTCTTAATAATTGCTGGGATGAGACGGGAAAATCAGAGAAATCTGGATAAAAATATTTACCTGTGTCTCTTGTGTTCTTCGGTAATAGATTCGTCGATCCTCCGTGACATCCGATCCTCCCGTGATGACCTAAACATGTAAAATGTCCGGGAGACACCGTAAAGTCGACACAGAGTACCAATTGTCTATGCTCAGAAGTCGAAATTATTTGCCCGTTTCAACCGATTTTTGGGAGCTACGCCTATTTCTCTTGTGTCTCCGCTCGTCCAAAGGTCCCTACAAGGGAGGACGGTCACGCCGCCCAGGTATAAGTTGTCATGTATCATTTGTAGGGATCTTCGGAAGCCAATCTTCAAGCGTGGCAATAGAAATGAAAGACTCTGATTGGTTCATTTCCTTATGCGTTATGCATTATACCTTTATGCAAAAGTGTGTGCTTCCCGCATTACTTGCCCGATTTAGCCGATTTTTTAAGGCTACGCCTACTTCTCTTCTCTTTTCTTTTCGAAGATCCCTATAAATGATACATGACAGCTTATACCTGAGCGGCGTGACCGTCCTCCCTTGAAGGGATCTTTGGACGAGCGGAGACACAAGAGAAATAGGCGTAGCTCCCAAAAATCGGTTGAAACGGGCAAATAATTTCGACTTCTGGGCATAGACAATTGGTACTCTGTGTCGACTTTACGGTATCTCCCGGACATTTTACATGTTTAGGTCATCACAGGAGGATCGGATGTCATGGAGGATCGATAAATCTATTACCGAAGAACGCAAGAGACACAGGTAAATATTTTTATCCAGATTTCTCTGATTTTCCCGTCTCATCCCAGCAATTATTAAGAGTTACAATGGATGCTACAATTTGCTATGCCACTATGAATACGACACGTGTATTGTATATACTGTGGGAAATTGTGACATTAATACAATGTAACTTTTAATTCATGTATTTACTTAAACATATATTATACATAACTGTAATTAGAAAAATGCAACTGTAATATAATTTCAATTTACAGATATCGTAGCAAATTGCCACTTCACCGTTCACAAACTCTTTTATTAGTTACTCCAACATCGTCTCGAAGTCACCGTGTGTCGTCACTTCCTGAGGCTATGAGAAGAAACATCGTCGCCTTCGTGTTCCGCTATTTACGGTAAACACTGTTGTGAATCTGATTGGCTGTCTCGTTTTGTCTTGTGTGATAAATAAAAACAATTACGTTCGTATATTGTATTGTTTTTTAATAATTACTTTCACATAATATGCATGACTGAATGGGAAGGGGGAGGGGGGATGTAAAAATGAATATGGCAGAATCTGTTGTATTTCTGTCACCAGTCTGCTGTCAGGCTGTGAACAGCAAGATCTGTTACTTTTCTGCCGCCAATCTGCCGTCATGGTATTAAACCGCGTTTGTTTGAATTCTGCCGCCAATCTGCCGTCAGACTGCGCACGGCAGGATCTGTTTCCTTTCTGTCGTCAATCTGCCGTCAGGCTGCTTAACAGAAACTATTCAAATGTTGACGTCAATCTGATATCAAACTTCTGTATCAGATTTTGTTTCAATGCTGCTGGCATTCTGCCGACATCATCTGATATTGCAGAATCTGTATTAATTTTGACATCAGTTTGTCATCAACTCCTGCAGCAGGCGTCTGGCAAAATCTGTTTCGGACAGATTTGGTTATTAGGGTTAATAAATCTTAATAAATCTTAATAAATGTGAACAAATTTGAATTAATTTTTACAAATGTTAATAAATCTTCATAATTGTTAATGATTCTTAATAATCCTTTATGAATCTTAATGACTTAATGAGTTTAAATGAATTGAGAGGAAATTGAGAAAGACTTTCAACAAAATATTTCCACCAGAATTTCTTTATTTTTGAAAATAAAAGCAATATATAGTTTGTATATTATATTAAATTGTCATTTTTACAGGTAAATTATTTTCGCTACGTTGATGGCTTTCATTTGAAGGAAACTATATATACGTGCCTAAAGGAAGCCTTAACCGACGCATTTGTGCGATCTTTTATTGGGTGAGTGCAAAAGTTCTTGCGGAGTTTGTGAGTAAAAGTCACACAGTGATTAGGCAAACAAAAATCTTTATTCAATCAATGATATATTCTCCATCGTTTTCTATAATCTTTTCCCAACGTTCTGGCAGCATACGGATGCCTCGATCATAAAAACTGCGCGGTTTAGATTCGAAGAACGAAGAGACGCCGTTTTTTAAGGCCTCCAAAGAGTCAAAGTTTTTTCCATTTAAATAATTTTGCAATGACCGGAACAAGTGATAGTCAGATGGTGCGATATCAGGAGAATACGGTGGATGCGTTAAGACATCCCATTTCAGGCTCTTCAGTTTGCGCAGCGTCTTTTTCGAAACGTGTGGTCTGGCGTTGTCGTGATGAAAGACGACTCCCTTGCGATTTGACAAAATCGGACGTTTCTCTTTTATTTCTCGATTCAGATTGGTTAATTGGCGACAGTACTTGTCCGAATCAATCGTTTCGCCAGCGGGGAGAAGCTCGAAATAGATTATGCCCTTGCAATCCCACCAAACAGAGAGCTTTCATCGGGTGCAAACTGGCCTTTGGCATTGCGTCACCATGCTCACCTGATTGTTTCCATGTCCGTTTGCGCTGAACATTGTTGTAGAGGACCCATTTCTCATCGCCCGTCACTAGTCGATCCAAAAACGACTCGTTATTGAGCCGCCCGAGTAAAGAAACGGCTGCAGAAATTCGCTTGATTTTGTTCTTCTCGGTCAGCAAATGGGGCACCCATATATCGAGCTTCAAATCGAATCCCATCTTTTTTAAACGCCGAAAAGGGGTTGATCGGTCAACGTTTAGTGCTGTAGTAACTTCTGTTGAAATTCGCGGATTATTGAGCACTAAAGTACGCAAAACATCGTCATCAATGTCAGAAGGTCGACCAGAGTGTGGCTCGTCTTCAAGGTTAAATTCTCCGCGCCGAAATTTAGCAAACCATTTTTCCACAATTCGTTTAGCTGGTGCTTCATCCTGATAAACATCCTGAATGTTTTTTACGGCTGCGGCAACGTTTATTCCCTTCCGAAACTCGTAAAGCATAACATGCCGTAAATGCACCTTATCGATACTCATTTTTAAAGTGATATTTCTCGAAGCAGTTTGTATGAAAACAAATGATTTTTTTTTAATAACAGCTGAAGACGTCACCTTTCCAACGTTATATAATATGTAGATGGAAGTATTAATGACAACACTTTACGACGCTTATAACTCCATCTATTGAAACTCCGCACGAACTTTTGCACTCACCCAATACATGGCTCGGTCGCGAGCCAGGACGACGACCTTTATATAACACGCGACTGGTAAAAGCCATATATGGTAAGACACTTTCTATTTTAAAATGAAAAAGAATTATCAATATTTTTATTTGTACATATCTCGGACGCTTGCTTTTCAGAAGCTACATGCAACAATCGACATTTTGAAAAGCCTACAAGATTGGAGTTCCAAAAACAAATGCGAGAGGCTATTCGTATAGCCAAAGAACGTCATCGACAAGACGCGGTCCATGCCAAAGAAATGAACGAGGAAGGGAGAACCCGTGGGAAGAAGAATCAGAAGAAGAGAACATAGAGCAAATGAACAAAGAACAAGAATAAGTGTAAGTTGAAAGTTTATATCCTAGTCAGAAATAATTCGTCGATCGACGTCAAAACGATGTTGAAACAACATAAAAATCGTAAAATCAATGTCGATTCGACATTGATCGACGAATAATTTCAGACTGCAATTTTGAAACTTTTAACCAGTGTTTCAGTATTCACTCCCAAGGAGAACAGAAAAGTCTAAATAAAGTCAATTTGACATCATTTTGACAAAATATTGACCAAAAATACGTCATTTTTTTATCAAAATGACGTCAGATTCACATTATTTTGACTATCTGTTCTCCTTGGGCTGCTAGGACTGAATATGTATAATTTATTTTGAATATACTATGGGTATTTTGTACTGGCAGTGAGTTTCGAAACGCAGCTTTACTTTTCCTTGCGCAATTGTTATTTTCATACATATATATTTTGCACAGGATCATTTTGGATACAAGGAATCATTATAGGATAACGTGCAATAAAGAAAATCTCCGGACATCGAGAAGAAAGAAGAAGAAGAACGGGGTTAAGAAGAAAAATGGAGAAAGAAGAGGAGGAGAGGGAGGAAGAGAAGAAGTAGAAACCTGCATAAGGTTTCTGTCTGCATCGACTACAGTGATGGTCGCAAGCGGCTTCGTAGCAAGTGGTAGCATGTGCGCTTCAAATCTTATGGTTCGGCTCAGGCCGTCCAAGATTTGAAGTGAAAAGTTACTGTATGTGTGACCCACACACATGTTAACCGCATGCTACAAGACTGTTTTAGATTATCATTGGTCGACAGACGAATCGGCAGTTTTCACTGCCACATTTTAATTATATCAAACGTTGCTCTTTCTTCGCAATCCATAATCAGCGCTTTTTAGCGCCACACCAGGACCAAATGCAATAATAAAATCTCGCGCGTAAATAATTTTCAAAGTTTCTTACATGTTGCAGATTACAGGTATTCGAAATTACAGGTGGATTAGCCAACGATCTTCTACGTTGTCAACGATCCTCTACGTGGCCAACGATCTTCTTCGTAGTCAACAATCTTCTTTTTTGGAGGTGTCAGCATGTTGTGGTGCATATTGTTCCT